TTTTACACCGACCAATTTAACACTGAATAACAATCAGTGCTGCATACTCCTCTAGAAGGGGCAATATTACTTCGGCTTACTTGTTGGAGGACTGGGATTTGACACTAAAGCATGTTTCTCTGATTAATTATATGACACTGTAAATATATTTTAATATATTTCACAAAACAATTGCTGCATTGGTTAATGAATGAAACAGGAAGATTTTCTTTCTCATTTTTCTGTTTCACTGAGTTTAAAAGTCTTCTCAGTGACACACTGGATAGTTCTCTATCTTTCACTATCACAAATAAGTGATATATTATTGTCACATTCCACAATTAGCAACAGACACAGCTTTGTCAGCTTTCAAGCACGTGTCGGTGTCCAGCGAGCAATTTTGCTTCGCATGTACAGCATGATAACAACCACGGTTGTACTATTGCTCTGTGTTAATCACTACTAGCTGGGATTTATCTACAATTTATTGTAGTCACCTGAAGGGATTTTCGTTTCCCAGAGGAAATACTTTTGTGTCTCTAAAGACACATTTGTTCTCCGAAGGGAATTCACGTTTCCTAAAGGCTAGATTTTTTCTGGTTTGTGTCTCGCAGGACATTCTATTTTGATCTACATGTACGAAGGGAATCAATAGTTTCCCGAGGGAAAATTTCGTAAGCTCGAGAAAGGTCTATAAATTGCCAGATCCTGTACGATCCTGTACATGGAGCATTTCGCAATGCTAAGCTGGACAAATCAATCGGCTATGATGGCCTTTTTACACGTATCAGCGATTCAGGGAACGTTTTCCTGAAAAAAGTTCTATCTGCGCCTTCAGGAAGCGCAAAATCTTTTTACGAAGAATCAAAGTGCACATTGCCTGAATGCTGTGTCTGATTACTGGTCCGAAATAGAATAAACACATAAATACAGAGCGGTACTCTTATCTGAAAACTCGAGCTCCCAACCAGAACATTCTCGACACGTTGTGCGTGAGTAGTTGATAAAAACTCGATCATTGGAGAGAGCAGGATTTAGCTTCGCTCTTCGCTCGGTTGCGTACAAGTTCGAAACGAGAACAGCAGACGCTCGATTATAGCGTTCGCGTAAAACCGAGAGAAAATGGACATTATAAGGTCGACTATTTTGTAACTATGAAAATCGGACCGACTTCCGTTCGACTTCCAGTTACAGAAGCGAATAGTTCCGAGGACAATCCGAAAATTGGATACTCTACATACTCACACAGATGATAACATAGTGGCTAGTATTGCCTAGCAACAGTAGCCACAAAAATCCCAACTGGCAGGAGCCCCCCCCCCCCCCCCCCCCNCAACCCTGGGAGGAGTACTCCCAGAAAAATTTGGGGGTGGAGTGCGGCCCGCTTGCCAAAACCCTTACCCTTTTTATGACCAAATCTGCCGGATTCTCCCTACCCTATCTATGGCCAGACCAAAAATTCGATACCCTATTTATGACCGTTGCGGCTGACGCAGTTGCCCTAAACATAAATTTTGAAGAGCTTTTGTTTATGGTCTTATCGATAATGATGAAAAAGTAGCCTCTTCTCAAAAACATATCCAATTTAAGACTAAAGTACAAAAACCATATAATTTGGTTTTATCAACTGGGTCGATAATGTGAATTGGCCACCGTAAAGAGATTCGAAAGTTGACGTTTTGAGCGTTAGCCCTTCGTCGGATTCGCTCCGACGAAGGGCTAACGTTCGAAACGTCAGCTTTCGAATCTCTTTACTTTGGCCAATTCACATTATCAACCTAGTTGATAAAACCAAATTATCTTGGTATACTCCCCACCGACGCAGCACCACAGTTTCATTAGAAACTTACCCCCTCTACAGAAACCATACCCTATTTAAGACCAAAATGGCCAAATCGATACTCAATTTATGACCAAAACGGCACAAAAACCATACCCTTTGGGGCCGCACATACCTACATAGCCCATAGAAGGGAGTACGCCCCCACCACCACCCCTCCGGTCAGAAAAGGACCAGATGGCTATTTACAAAGCGTGACCGAGGATTTGAACTCAGGACTACTGAGAAACAAATTCCGCTAGTAGCAGGGTGAAGGCTTGAACCCGCCACCTCCGGATTACAACACCAGCGCCCTAAACCACTCGGACGCGCTGCCTCCTGTCGCCGTATTCAAAGAGTTGATCTCATGTGAAATCAGCGATGCGAGTAGACAGAACTCGTCGAGAATTCAGTGGGTTTGCAAGAATTGAAAACCTGAATGAAACAAGGGTTTAGCCATGAAAATTCTGTTTCTGCATGCTAGTCTGAATTCGTTAATTGTACGTAGTTTGGAGTATATAATATCGATTTAGTTCAAACAAATTCAGGTTCTCTCGCAATTTTACCTAATGTTGTCTCCCGTTGAAAGCCTACGCTTGATCAATTGGGCATCCTGTTATTGTATATATTAATGTGTACATAAAATCGGTCAGTTTATAATGTCTGGGACGAGCTGTTAAATAATTTTGCAACGTAGCTGTGAGTAAGTTATAGAAAGGGATATCTAGGGCTGGACAGCTCTGTTTCTCCAAACTAAAGTAGTTTGTATTCCGAGTAAATTAGGTTTATTTTAAAAAACAGTTAGACGGTCCCAAGCACCATACTCTCGCGATACAGATGGTCGAAATGAATGATTATTTCCAAAATTGGTCAACCAGTGAACAAAGTTAGCGTTAGCGTCCGAATAGGCCAATTTTTGATATATTGAAATTATAACTTGGACCCGAGGCTTAGGGAAATTACAACAAAGAAAATCGATTATTGATCGCTTATCCTCTATATGTTTTGTTTTGTTTTATTCGCCTAAACCTCGGAGCGAAGTTAGAATTTTAATATATTTAAAGTAGACTATTGCCATTCTTACTGACGGCATATATAATAAGCTTATCAAGCAGGAAAATGACTCCAACACGATCGAGTGTGCGCACCGCATGCATGATGTAATACAACGTTTCTTCATACAGGGTCATTCGAATTGATTTTTGGCAAGTTTATCGGAGTTTCAGTACTAAGCAACTAGTAGTCTGCGATCAGGCGTTCTTGACAAAAGAAGCCCTGATCGCAAGTGAGCAAGCAACTAGTATGTTTTTGTGGTCTTACGGCTCCTGTCATCCTGTCACCTCATGCATGTACGTAGTTCGATGCTGTCGGACCAGCTGACACAATCATAAGTTCATGTTACATTATAACCTGGGTAATAGAAAGCGCTCGCTGTCCCACCTGCCCATCATTATAAATTTTCAAAAAAATTTCGCTCTGCGAAGGTTAATCGCCGTAACCCAGATTTTCCAACAACTGTCAATGGTCCGAATGTTGGCTTTGGAAGGGAGTGATGCGTTCGAGACCATGCATTACTTTTTTATAAAGCAAATCGAGTAACTCACAGATACATGCAGTAACTAACGTGCAGAAGTAAAAAAAAACTACTTTGCTTTTATTCAGTCGAATCTCACGCATCTATAGGGCACACACTATTCTCTGGTTTTTTGTTGTTGTTTTTGTTGTTGTTTTGTTGTTTTGTTTGTTTGTTTGTTTGCTGGCTCTACGAGAGAGAATGACAACGACAATGGAAAAAGGGCAATCCCTACAATGCCTAGGACAATGTTGTCTTAACAGAAATGTTCAGAAGGGTTATAATAATCTTTTATCTTACTCTGTCCACAGGCCCTCTATTTTGTCTTGAGTTTGTCGAGATCGTAAGCAAAAGTATTAACCGCAGGGAATTTGAAAAAGACCGAACGCAAAGGGGCGGCCCGCGTCGAGGCCGCTGTCGCGCTCCGCGCTTGCTCTCGCGCTCGCGCCTCGAGCGCTTGAAAAAATATCACGTCGGAGAAAAAGGGTATGTGCAAAAACTACCTTTATCTTAAAGCAAAATGATTTCTCACTTGCCCTAGCTGCTAAAGAAGAGCGTAAGAAGCACAAGAAATCGTTGCTTTAACTTGCTACGCGAAAATTAGTGACAGACAATTCAGTTGTTTCTAGAGGAAAGTTCATTACACGTTTCAGCCCATGCAAATATAATTGCTTTAGTCGAATAGAAAACAAATGCATCCACGTAGCCTAGCTTGATAAAGAAATCGTAAGAAAATTCAATATTCATTTGATTACTTGGAATAAGTTTGATAGGTAGCGACCGTGAACTGGGAGAAGCCCAAAAGTGTATTTGCTTTTCTGCCAATTGTCATAATCTTGTTTCCATGAAGGTTAAACTCTTCTTTTCTGTTGCAAGGTTTATGGCAATACGAACACGATGCATAAAGGAAAAACAAATAAATGGATTCACTATACAATGACACAACGAAAAAAGAAATACAAGTTTATTAACTATTGTAAAACCTAAACTGCAACGTGGAATTGAACTGGGAAAGAAAAGAAAAAGAAACTGAAAGGCAATAAAAGGTAGCCAACACAATGCAAATGCCAAAACGATCACCACAGACATCTTCAGCAGATTTTTGTTATTTTTCTTGTGTCGCTGATTGGCAATAGAGGTACGAAAAGGCATCATATTGTCTTGTCTCAATTTCAGCAAGGTTATAGTTTGTAGTATAGATACTGTTACTAGTGGCACAATCAGTACAACAAACAGTAGCGCAGTGTAGTATCGGGTATGTGTTGACTCATGATTGAAGGCCGGCTCCCAGTTTGTGAAACAAAAAGTTTCGCCATTGATTGCGTCCAAACGGAAAGTGTAGAAATACGGAGAATGAATTGCCATTGCTACAATCCAAGTGGAAAGGATGAGAAGCCGTCGCTTTTTGACAGTGATTTGATTATATTCTGTTGGAAATACAACTGCGACCAGCCTGTCTGCGGCAACCAAAATCAAGGACAGTGTGGACACAGCAATGGCAGCGTCAACAGTGAAGGTACAGATCTTACAGAGGACATGCCCAATCCATCGATGGACCAGAAAAGCCGTGGAGCCTGTGATTTGAACCACAATCTCTCGAGTTAAGTGAACTATGGAGTACAAGAGATCCGAAACAGCTTCGTTGGTTATTATCAGGTTAATCGTGGTTTTCGATTTTAGACAGGCGAAAATAAGCAGAGAATTTCCCACCAGGGAAGCAATCAAAAGAATGCTGTATATAGTAGCGTAGCTTATCACTTCAGCGACAGGATCAATTGGCAGTATACACGTGCGATTTTCGTTCGCTATGGGAGAGACGTCTGAGTTGTTGTTTTCGAGCATGATCGTTAAATCGAATCGATTTGATTTGCGAAACTCAAGTGAAGATGCTGTTCAGATTATCACGGTCGCTCAGTTGTTTTGATTCTTATTAAAAGTAGTTGAGCTGAATACAGGCAAAACTAGATGACACGATTCTAGGCTCTGGTATAATGTAGTAACTCTTTACTATGGAAGACTAAGCCACTGTTGAGGTGCATTACAGTGGAAGGGAACAAATAAAATGTCGAAAGCTAAAAGCCTTCTATTGACGAGTCTGACAAATTCTATTAAAGAAGTTCCTTTGTTTCCGTTCTTGAAACAAAACTGTAATTAAAAAGTGCAGATAAATGAACATCTGGACGTTACGATCTCGCGACCACCAGTTTATATATTTGCCAAGTTTAGCGGGACAATACCGAAGAAGAACTTCAATTGCCACTTAGATTTAGCCAATGCCTTCAACGTCCTGTGCGAGATCCGTAATCGGTATGTTTTGCATGCATTTACCGTAAGATTAATTTGAGAAACCAAATGAACTGTAATGATAAATATACAAACAAGAACACACGATCAACTTTTTTTATTCAGGTTATTCTGTTCCTTGTAAAGATGCATGAACGACTGCTATAGTTTCTCTCCCTACTGCCACTCCCCTTCCGCCGCAAACAAACGTAAACACTCTGAAGTCTCTATATTCTACTGAATTGATCAAATGACTGAAAGCCTCATCATGGTAAGAAAGGGAGAATGGCTGTGAGGCGTGACAATGTTTTTTGCCGATTTTTTTTGGTTGGATTTTTTGGCCTTGATCGTGCACAAAATACCACTGTTTTTTACTTCTGATTGAGGCAGTAAACAGTACAAACGTTAACTTATCGGTTTCATAATTAATGCACTTTGTGTTGAGCGCGAAACAAAAGGTTGTGCACAGTTGTGGGCCTTCCGACTTTCTCATTTTGTTTGTCGGGCTTCATAACCATCCCCCTGTATTTACTATGACCTGAATTCCTTATCGAAAGTTCCATTTTTATTTTTGGTTAGGCAGGTTCATTCACTTCAGAATGCTGGTGCAATCTGCATAATAAAGATCGTCAACTATTTTTAATGACAGGCCCATGAATGCCGTGTTTGTGCTTTGTGGCTCACTTCATCAGCCAACCCATGAAAGATCGTATGGCCTGTAGTCAAGGTTCTTTTGCTAGTTCTATCCTACAAACCCTGGGTGGAGACTTCTGAATTGCTTGATCTCTCAACGCCTGCGGCTATTATCAAGCGCCTTTTATCTCTCATGCCTGAGGCTGGGGATGAGCAGGAGGCTAGAAGCCCGCAAAGGTGTTGTTGAATCAAAGTAAAGAATATCCTCACATCTAAATTTGAATCTAACCACATTTGATATCTGGGGACGTTTATTATATTTGCATTCATTGCCAACGGTAACAACGGCTAAATACAAATTTCTACAGAATTCATTTTTCGTAGCCTTTCGTGATTGTACCACTGCTTATGCTGTTTCAATTGGAAAGGCTGGAGAACAATTACAAACGACTCAATTAAAGGAATAATCATAACTTTTCTTTTTTCTT